GTAGGCTGCAGCCTCTGCTGCAGTGGGCTGCCATAAGCTACCGTGTGTGGCCAGCAGCCAGCGTGAGCGGCCAGCAGCCACAGTGAGTGGCCGTCCAGAGGCTGGCAACTGACCTGCCTCGCCTGGGAAGAGCGCAATGATGGCGCCAGCTTGGGCCAGTGAAGCAACATCCTCCACAACTAGACTGAAGAACAAAACAACAGCGACTTGTCTGTTCCCCTTCCCCCGATTCACCAATAAAATCTTTTTAAAAAAATTAAATAAATAAAAGGGGTAAAAGAGATGGGGATCTCCCCAGCATTTCAGAGACCCTGCTTTAAGCAACCCAGTTCTAGACCAGCGTGATGTATGGTGAGGGGCTTGTGGACCTGGTTTCCCAGAAAGTGGGGTGTCAGCCTGTCCCTGGATTCTGGGCCCTGGTGTCCATCAGATCACAACCTCTGGCACTGGGACGGGCAAGGGTAGAAATGAGTCCAAGAATGTCTGGGCCACAGTAAACTCATTTACAGTCTTTATTATAAAGAAGTTGCAGCTGGAACATGGGACACTGAAATTACACAATCACGGATTGTTCTTTCAGAGGGGGGAGGGAGATCCATATATACAAAAATTGTAAACATGTTCACTGAAATATCCAACACATAATTGACCTATGCTACAATGTACAGGGTTGTCACTCAACTGCAACTCCAGAGGGAGGCATCTGTCTACAAGAATGAAATGTGGCAACCGCATTTGGTATTGACATAATGTGAAAAGCCAGCGTGGAGCAACGCATGAGTAGTCAGCTATGCAGAGGGACCCCAACCTCGGACTGGGCCTTAAAACAGGGTGCAGGGTGGGGAGTTCAGGGGCTGACTGGTCCAGGAAGCCAAGGTAAAGGGGTTCGCACAGAATGGCTGTCTCCGGGGCACTGTGGGCAGATGGAGCTGCTCTCCTCATGAGAGGCTTGTCTTGCCAGGCACACAGGTGTCCCGAGCCTCCACTGGGCAAGGTCTTACTGAAGGGCTGGAAGAGGACTGGTGCTCAGGCCTACAGCTATGCTGTGCCTTCCTAACCAGAACTGCCCACACCTGGTCAGAGGCCTGGACCAAGGCATGGAGGGGCTGGAGCAGGGGCCACAGACAGAGGGGCTGTTTGGAGGGGACTACCAGGTGAAAACTCAAGACTTGACCACAATCACAACATCGACAGGGCCAGGCTACTCTAGCAAGCAGGTGCGAGGAATAGAGGGAAACTCCAGACAGAGCACACGGCCCTACAGGGTGACCCACCATGACAGGATCCAGGACTGTCACAACCCACAGGGACACGGGATGGGGAACAGTGGCCACGTTCCCTGCACCATGGCATGGGGGTGGGGGCAGTATATCTGCTCTCTTTCCAGGACAGCCCCTGCACCTGGCTGTGGAGACCAGCTGGATCCCCGACCCCAGAGTGGACAGGTGAGCCTGGAGATGGCTACCTCATGAGGGTACTGGCCCCCTGCCAAGGCTGGTCCACTAGAGGCTGGAGGACATGTGTTCAGGGCTGTGATGTACCCTCCTCAAGACCTCAGGCTTAGGGCTGGGGACTAAAGTTATAGGGATAATTTGGGGGATACAGCCCAGGAACCCTAGGGGCTACCCTCTTTTGGCTCCAGATGTCCTACAGTGACCACCCTTCCATTCCCCGCACTGGGCCAGGAGGACCTGAGGGAGGTCCCAGGAAGCCCTGGGACCTACATTGGTGTGGCAGCCTTTGAGCCCTGGTCTGGGCCTACTGGCCACTAGTAGGCAGGCACCTGGTACCCTTTTGGGCTGGTGTCCAGGGTCTCAGTGAAGGGCGGGCTCTGGTAGGTCTCGGTGCCCTCCACGCCGCTCCCCACTGGGTAGCCAGGGTAGGCCTGGCCCGCCCCAGTGCCCAGCTGTTCCGTGGCAAAGAGCGACATGTCGGTGCCCAGGCGAAACCGCTGCAGGGCCTTCACGGTGAGCGCCACCTGAGGGGGAGCCCAGGGTCATTCAGGGCCGACCCCACCCTGGCCCCAGCCTGGCCCTCACCGCCAAACGCTGCACTCACCCAGCTGAGAATGGAGAAGAAGCTGAAGGCGATGGCGGCCCGCGCTGCATCTCCAGCCTGCGTGGTGCCTGGTCCGGGCGCCGTACGCTGCCACTGGTTGGTGAGGAAGCAGAAGCCCACGAACCACAAGAATGACCAGAGCCCTACAGGTGGACAGGCGAGCGGGTCAAGGGCGCTTTATCGAAGGACTCGGCCCAACACTAGGAAGCGGCACCCGGACGCAGAGAAGCCCCGTCCACCGCCGGGCACCACGCTTACCTTTTGCGACCCCACTCACCTCACAGTCAGGACACCTACCCTCTGGGCCCGGCCACGCCCACCCGAGAAGTCCCGAGCATTTCCCTCCCGAGATTCGCCACTCTCGGCCCGGCCACGCCCACCTGAAAAGCCCAGGTCGAGCAGAACCGCGCGGCGGCGGTCGCGGACGCTGCTGATCTGCTGGAAGCGCACATCCAGCAGCAGGAAGGCAGCGCAAGCAAGGAAGGCCCCGAGGCCGAGCGCGACGCCGAAGCGACAAGCTCCCGCGTTCCCATTGAAGACGCAGCGCAGCTCCGGGCCGCTGTCGGAGTTCACGTAGCCCTCGTTGACGATGGGTCCAAAAACGGCGATGGAAAACACCTGCGGGCGGCGGTTGGCGCTCAGGCACCGGCAGTGATGACCCTCCCTGCGGAGGGCCTAAGTATCCGTGGTTCACCACGAGCGCCCGCGCCCGTGGTCCTGTTCCTGCGTTCCCGGGCAGCACAGGGCCCGTCTCTGGGTGAAGGTCTTTGGGTACCCCTCCCTAAATACCTCCCTCAGGTATTGAGTAATTATGGTTAACATGGACCATTTAGTGAGCATCTGCTATGCCCAGTCTCCGTGCTTTACATGGGTTCGCTCATAGAATCCTCCCAGAAAACCATGAAGGTGCGTACCATTGTTCTTATCCCCTTTACAGAGGGGGAAATTAGGGCTCAACAGGTGAAGTGATTTGTCAGAGGTCGCAATGCTGATAAGAGCCAGGGCTGAAATTCAAGCTGGGTCCTCTGCGCCATGTGGGGCCTGTAGTGTCTCACACTCCAAGGTGTGAGAACAGGAGCCTTCAACTGGACCAGTGATTCCAGGCTTGAGCCTTTGTGGCTGGGGGAGGTAGGTGTGGAAAGAGTGGCCTGAGAATAGGGGGTGCCCCGAAGGAACGGCTGCACAGAGCTGTGCGGCCGTTTCCTAGCATGTCAAATATAGTAACAGGCACAGCTCATGATGTGTTGGGGACAGAGAAATAATGCTCACCCAGCATCCTACATTTGGTGGGCACTCAAGGTGACCCCACGTGACTGATTAATAACGTCCATAAGTGTTTGGGCTCCAAAGATGACATGACTGACCTCTGGGATTCACTCAAACCTCAGCACCCTGTCCCCACCAGGGTTGGAAGGCAGGTAGGAGGTGGACCATGGTTATTTTAAAACAGATGCTGCTCTTTTAGCTCCTGGAAGCCCTATGTTTCTAAAAAAAGACCTCCAATTTCAACTTCATTTCTCTCCTTTGCCCCCTCCCCAGCTTCTAGAGACCTAGTCAGGAGGGAAACCGAGGCACAGGATATGGACACGTCTGCCCAGAGTGGTCCACAAGTCGCCAGAACTAGGGTTCCTACATCCTGGTCTGGCCAGAGGCACTCCACACCCAAGGCTGGAAGCCCACTGGCCCACCCTGGGCACTGCCCTACTCGAAGACCAGAGAATAGGTGCGGCTGCCACCAGCTTCTACCTCTGGACAAAATCCAGAACTTGGCACCCCACCTCCCCATCTCTCCTGCCTGCAGCTAGGGTTGGTCCATTAGGTTAGGCTGCCCCCAAATTTGCCCCTCCCACACCACCTCCAGGAAGCCCTCCCAGAGCAGAGCCCTTCTGGCTGACCCACCCAAAAGGCTCCCAGAGCACCCCCGCCCCCAACTCACAGTTGCAACTGGGGGGGGGGCCTGTGAAGGGCCAACTCCCTTGAAGGAACCTGTAGAATGTGTGTGCGGGAGAAGCAGTTAGAGGCTCTGCCTGATCCTCTCGGCTCCCGTAGCCCCCTCCTCGGGCCGAGGCTCAGTGCCCAAGCCCCTCCGCGTCTGGTCCCTACCCCTATGCCTGCTTCCAGGTAGTGAGGACAGGAAAAACGGAGCGAAGGCTGAGGAAGAGGGCTGTTAGACCTAAGGAGGAATTGGGGATGGGGGACGACGGGCGGTGACCTCTCAAGGTTCCAAGCTGTCGCCTCCGGCCCCTCCCCGGCCCGCAGGTGGGCGCGCCCTGCCAGGTGACGTCACCCCAACCTGCGGCCGGCGGGGGAGGGGCCGGCGAGGATGACGATGGGGGCGAGGGGCAGGGGAGAGGGACGAGAGACTGGGTGCCGGGGGAGGTGGGAGGCACTCACCCAGGACACGACCCTCAGCAGGGTCTGGGGCCGCAGCGCGAAGCTCACGGGGTCCAGAGCAGCTCCCGCGCGGCCCGCGCCGAATGAGGATCCCTCCATGGCCGGCCCGGGCGGGCCACGCGCCCCCGGAGCCCTCTGTCAGTCTATCGGTCCAGCCGGCCCCGCCCGAGGCAGCCCGGGGCTGCAGCCGCTGCTGCTGGTGTTGCTGCTGCCTCTGCCGCTTACAGGGAACGCGCGGCGGGGGCGCGCGGGGCGGGGCTGAGCCCGTGCCCCCACTCTCGCCCGGGACTGGTCCACGCGCGCGCGGCTGGAGCCCTCCTCTCCCTCCGCCCCGCCCACCGTCCACCTCCCTCCACCACCTTCATGGCCAGTGTTCGAGATGGAGACCACCAGCCAGATCACAAATGGGAGAGGGCCAACGAGCTTAGTGCCCACTCACAGGGCGTCAGGAGTCAACAGGGCAGGCGGACACTGGGCTCGGCCTTTGCTGTTGCAAGGCTGTTGGACAGTGGGACCTGACCCGTCTCCTTTGTGCAGGGCCCTTGTATGAGTGTGTGAGGGGGTAACTGAGGCCCAAGGGCTCCAGCGTCTTCCCCCGAGCCCTCACGAAACAGGAATGCAGCTCCCTGGCTCTGCAGACCAGAAATAGGTCACTGGCGTCTTTTCCCCCATAATCCCCCACTGCATCCTATCTTCTTCAGAGGGAGAAGGCTCCCTGATAAGGACAATGGCCTCTTCCCCCAGGGGTACTTGTCCAGGTGGGCAGAGCCCACAGGCCAGCATGGGTGGGAGTTGAGGCATCTCTGAGCCTTCCACATTCCTGGGTCTCTCCAACTGACTTAGGGCCAATGTAGCTTGGGGTCAAGGGGTGAGGAGAAGCCTCAGAGATGAGTTTAGCGGAGCTGGGGCCTAGCAGCCCCATGTCACTGCCGGGTCTCTTCCACAGATCCCCTGGCCCCCAGTTGGTGTCCTTTCCTTCAGGGTCCTTCCAGGTCAGCCTAGCAGGGGTCCTGATGACTCCTAAGTTTCTGTGTAGGGCATTGATAAGACAAGCCTGCATTTGTTGAACATTTACAGTGCCAAGCGCTTCACAATGACTTGTGGGGTAGGGAGTGTTATCACCCATTTCTCAGATGGTAAATAAGCCAGTTGAATTCTTGGATCACAGGAAGTGAAGAGCTGGAGTTCAAATCCAGGTCCCTGCCATGCCATCTGTATGAACAAAGGGTGATACCTGGCCCAGCCCCCTGGGGACCCCATCCCAGGGCAGGTTTGGACAGAGGTGCTACTCACCAGTCTTCTGTCAGGTCCATTATAATGTGTATCCAATCCCACCACCTCTCACCTGTCACGACTGTTCCGTCTCTGTTTCTTGCATTATCCATTTCCCCCTTTTATTTGATCGTTTGCAACAGCACCCAAACATGTTACGCTTACTTCTACCTTAAAAACAAGCCTCCACTTTTTTTTTTCTAAGAGGGTTAGAATTTTTATTTTATTTTTATTGGGGAATGGTGTTTTGTTCCAGGACCCATCAGCTCAAAGTCAAGTAGTTGTTTCAATCTAGTTGTGGAGGGTGCAACTCAGTGGCCCATGTGGGGATCAAACTGGCAGCCTTAGTGTTATGAGCACTGTGCTCTAACCAACTGAACTAACCGGCCACCCCCAAACCTCCACTTTTGATCCCACTTCCTATCCAGCTGTCCCATGTCACTGCTCCCTTTAGTCCCAGTGGCAATTCAGACACTGCTGTCCCCACCCTCCTGGAAAGCCTTCTAGATGTCAACCTCTCCTGTTCCTCTTACTTCATAGTCCCTTTCTTGTTGACCCTTTTAGGTTCAGTCCTCTTATCTGACCTGTGACCTTCAAGCTTTAGGGGCCCCAGGGCATGATGTTGGCTCTTCTCCCTCTGTGCTCACTCCTTTGGTCTACTCACTGACAGCTCCAGCCAGAACATTCCCTTGAACTAGAAGAGTTCCACTTCTCTTAGCCTGGTTGCCCTGGAAAACAGTCTGCACCAAAGCTGAGTTTTATTGGGGGGTGAAACTTCAGAGAAGCCAGAGTTAAGGAAAAAGGGAAGTGAAGCAGGAATGGAGAGAGAGCAAATACATTGATTCCTGAGCTGAACACAGTGGCACGCAGGTGACTAGGGAAAGGCCAGAGAGAAGCCCTGTGCTGGGGACAGTCCATCTGGGGGAAGGAGAGCAACTTCTCTGCTGGCTGCTCCCCGCCTATTTCTTTGTGTCCCCTTGTCCCTCTGGGCAGCCCCTTTGGAAGCCAGTAATTCCATGGGGACAGTCAGGTGAAGTTGCTGAGGAGGCCATGATAAAGGTTGTCCCTTTGCCTAGGTAGAGGCTGACACACCATAGGGATAGAGGCGACTAGCTTTATGACTACAGAGATGGGCCATTCCAGCTGGGAGCCAAGGTCTGGGAGCAGATGTGGCTGAGTGGATCAGGGAGGCTCAACAGCTAAGTCCAAGTCACCCCCAAACCTGCTCCACTCACAGCCTTCTCCATCTTACTGATATAGAGTAACTCCATCCTTCCAGCTGTTCGGGCCAGAACCCCAGTCACCTTTGGTTCTTTCTCCTGGCTCCACCTTCAGAGTATATCCTCTCCCACCCACCCTGGGGTGAGCTTCCCCTCAGCTGCCACATGGGCGCCTGCTCTCCCCGGTCCCAGCCATGCCTGCCTCATCCCAGCTCAGGGGCCAAAGGAACCTTTCAAAAGTCACATCTCACCATTCCTCAGCTCCAAATCTTCAAGACCTTCCTGTCATGGGAGCTGGGCACTAAAATCATATCCTTGCTGGGATTTTGATGACCTCATGCCATCTGACCCTCCCTCAGCTCCAGCAACTCGGCCTCTGTGCTGTTCCTGGAATATCCTGGCCCACTCTTGCCCTGGGACCTCTCCTTCCTCCCAAGGAGTCAGAACCTGGACAGGAGGAAGCAGCTGACCACAGAGGGGCAACGGCAGGCCCTGTCAATCTATGCAAATTCCAACACAAAAAACACTGAAGCCAGGTCCTCAGCTTCTCCAGCATTTTATTTTGGTCTCAAGCTCCAAGGAAGCTGGCCCCAGGGAGTTTTATTGGGGGTGAAATTGGTACAGCTATGGAAGGCCATATGCTAGACAGGAAATGGGCAGTAGGGTTGTTGGACACGCAGAGAAGAACCCTAACTGCACTTTCTCTCAGTCCCTGTAGGGTCTGAGCAGGGTGGAGAGCTTAGCACCCCCAACACCCCACCCCGGCCTCTTTCCTGAAGTGCAAACAGCACACATCATCTGGGGCTATAGTCACTGCAACTGTCCTTAGCTACACGTGGTTGTCCCCAGCTACACAGTGGGGAGACAATGGCCTGGCTTCGAGGGGTGTCGGGGGCCCAGCCAAGGCTGTCACCTTCCTGTGAAGGGCGGGCAGGAGGCCATATCCTGAATGAAAAGGGACAGTTCTCTCACCTGTAGCCCCACAGGGCCTTGGCTGAAGAGGAAGCCATTGTGGTGCCTACAGTAGACACCTCCACTTCAACTCCAAACCCGAGAAGGAAAGGGCCCCATGGGCAGAGTCTGGGGGTCACCCAACTGAGACACAACAGGCTCTGGCTTTGCCACACTTTAAAGAGTACTCTGATGCACTTTAATGTGTGCCCTGCCCCTCTCTAGCCAGGTCACCCATTGACCCTGGCCGCCCTCTAGTCGCAGGAGCCGTCTTTCCAGCCGTCACGCCAGCGCTCATCCACTTTGGAGCAGTCGAAGTCCGGCTTGCCTAGTTTGCGGTTTACTTCGTTGTGCAGGCGGCACAGCCACTGGGTGAAACATGCCCTCGTGCTTGTGTCTGGCTCGTTCCTGCATATCCTGCATGGGGGCAGCACATGGAGGATGGGGGGCAGACAGTGATCCCACTGCCCCTGCCCCACCAGCTCTTGGCCTGCTTAAGCCAGGGAGGAGAGATGGGACACTGCTGAGCTATACCCAGGAGTGCTCTCATGCTCTGAGACAGGAAGTGCTGACCCTGCAGCATCCAGATGAGGTGGACTTCTAAGTCTGCTCAAAATGCCACTTAGGGAGCTTGGCAAACACTGACAAGAGCCCAGGGCAAGACATTAAGGCACAGACCAGGTAACTTTACAACCTCTTAACAATCAGGAAGCCTCACCCCAGCTTCCCTGGCCCCGGGCAGTGTGAAAGGGGTGGGGCGGGCACAAACGCATAACTGAAAACCAGACCTGTTTCTTAGCAACTGGGGCCCTGGTGCCTCAGCTCAGCAAGAAACCTGGTTCTAACTGCCTAGCCTTCAAACAGCAAAGGTTTTTCTGCCCCCCACATCCAGCCCAGAAACGCCTATGGGTACCAAACAATAAAAGAAGTGGGTTGTCAAGGTCTTGAAACTAGCAATGCTGCTTCAGAAATCAGACAAAGTGGAGTCCTCCTTAACCTGCTGAAGTTTCCATCAGTGCCAAGCAAGGACCTTGTGAGGGAAGCCCTGCGGACCTGTGACTGCAGAAAGCAGCAGTGCCCAGCAGCAGCCCCAGGCTGTTTGGCGTTTGAGGAGAAAGGTGGCTCAAATGATCCAATCCCCATTCTGTTGGTGGCCCCTGCTCTTGGCAACCCACTGCAACCTCTGCACCTATTTCTCTCAGCTCCCCTTTACAGCATCAGCCAGGGGCCCCAGGCCCAGGCTCCAGGTGGGATGCTCTGCTGCCTGCAGCCGATGCAGATACAACTTACCTCTTCCTTATGTCTTCTGCACACTCCTCACAGGGGTAAAACTTGGAAAATAAATGTATGAACTGGGCCATGTCTTGCTGCTGTTCTGGGGTGGGCAGGTCGGGGTAGTAGGCAGCCAGGGTGTGAAGGACAGACCAGCTATTGCGGCCCAGTTCCTCGCGATCCTGAGGACAATCTTCCCTAAACTTGCTGTCCCGCTGCAGAAGAAGGCGACCAAGAGTCAGTTGGGTCTTCCCTGACCAGAAGCCTACAAAGCTTGCCCTTTTCCCTCCCGAGCCGGAGGGACATTAGTCCTGCAGCGGATCCGGCCCACGTGTGGCTGAAGACCTAAAGGCTGGGCCTACCTTGGGGGTAAGGTTCAGGAACAGCCAACCCTGGGGGCATACGTCTGTCAGGCATAGGACTTGTGGTCGCTCGGCCTGGGCATTGGGAGATCTGCCCAGGGCGCCTGAGAACAAGGTGTGGAACCCGAGGTCGGGGTGGGGTGTACGCGGGCCGGGGTTAGGGGTGGGCAGGGCTCGCCGGCCTCTGTGGGGAGGTGGCGCCTCCCGACATCTGCACCTTCTGCTGCGTCCGCATCCATGTCTTGAAGTCCACGCAAGCCCGGCAGGGCCGCCTTCGGGAGGTGTCATCGACGACCCCAGAGTCAGGGGTCGGCGGCTGGGTTAGCGTCGGGGCCGCGGCGGCAGCATCTTTCCGCCCTGCCCCCCGACCGCGCGCGTCCGTCACCAGGTCCTCCATCGTCTCGGAGCGCGCGCCGCCGGGCAGGAAGGAGAAGAGGTTCCCGCCGCCAAAGCGCCCCCGATCGCTGGGCGCCGCCATATTGCCCGCGCAATGTCTGCCGGGCCAGCTTGGCCTCCAGCTAGGCCTCCAGCTGGGCCTCCAAGTCGGCCTCCAGGCCAGAGCGCGTGCCGCCGCCAGGACGCGGCCACAGGAGCTGGGCGCGCGCGCCGCGGGCTCGGGCGTGGAGGCCGGGCCTGAGTTGGGGCTGAGGGCGGGTTCGGGGGCGGAGTCCGGGGCTGGGGCGGGGTCCGCCGTGGAGGCGGTGTCCGGCATGGAGGCAAGGTTAGGAGCTGTGACTCGCGCTCGGTCCAAAGAAGCGCCAGAGGCCCGGGCAGGGCCGGAGGCCCGCGTCTTGGCGGCACCCCTTGGTCTAGTTCCGCGGCCCGAGCCAGGCTTGCGTTGTCCAGGGCGGCGCTCCCGCTTCCTCCAGTAGAAGAGGAGCGTGTTGTGGAATCTGCGCCGCGGCGGAGCCGTGGACTCGGGCTGTGGCTTAGACGAAGTCCGTGTTGCGGCCCTCGACGCCCCCATCGCTCGGCTGCGACCGCGTCCCACGTGCCAGTGGCCAGTATCTGTGCATCTGTGCCTTCAGCCGGGGCGCGCCCAAGGGCCGGCTTCGCGGCGCCCTGACAACGCAGGGAGGGGCCGTGAGCGCACAGAGGACGGCGCGCGTTAGGACCCGGTCCCGGGATTAGCCTCGATGGCCGGTGCCACGGCAACGGACGCCTGGCAACGCTGGGTGGGGCCGTGCCTGCAAAGGAGGCCGCGCGTGTATCTGGGCTCCTGTGCGCACGGAGCGGCCCCGGATCCTACAGCCTGCATGAAAGGGTTAAACTTACGTCAGGAGTGGCCTCAGGGATATCGGGATATCTCTGCTTGCATATGGACACTCATTCATTCCACAAATATTTGTGTAGTGCCTAATCTGTTCCAGGCACTGGGCAGGGCGGGGAACAAGATCCGACCCTGATCTCTTCAGCTCAGACAGAGTCCAGTGGTCAAAACGGAAAAAACAAAAACAAGTCACATAAATGTTCACTTACAAACTATGGTGGGGGCCATAACAGGGTGTGGTAATTCCAGGTGGCCTTGAGGTGACCCTTAGGCAGAAGCGCGCAGGATGAGCAATCAGCTGTGAAGGGCAGTTGAACGCCAAGGCTGGAGGTGGGAGGGTCTTGGTCTTTTGCATGGGCAGCAAGGCCAGTGGGACGGAACTTGTGGAGGAGAGATCCAGAGGTGGCAGGGTCCCACCAAGGATTTAGTTGGCTACCATGGGAATTGGGAATTTATTCTAAGGACAGTGGGAAGGTACTGGACAGTTTTGAGCAGCGCTACCTCTACCTGATCCCAATCCTGTTTTGCAGATTTCTCTGGAGAGTCCAGCTCATGGGAGCAAGTGAGGAGCACAGGCATTGGGTGGGTGGGGGGCTGTTATCCAGGTGAGAGATGAGGGTAGGGGCTATGGAGAGGGGAAAAAAGGGGGAAAGGACTCAGGGTTGCTAGGGGTGTGGAGCAGGGGCTGTCAGTTGGGGCAGGGAGGGGGCCTCAGCACCCTTCTATGTCCCTAGCTGTGAGTAAATTGCCCCTTCCCCACTTCTCTCTGTCTTCCAGGGCAGCAGGGTCTGTCTCACCTTAGACCCTGCCAGGCCAGCAGGGCCCTCAGCACAGCCCCCACTGAGGTGGGGGAGTGTGTAACAGCTGGGCTGAAGGCACTCTGCAGATAAGGTCTATGTCAGCAGGTGTTCATCGTCTGGGCCAAGACCAGGGAAGGTTTGAGGGCTTTAGAGAGAGCCACAGGGTGGACACACAAAAGCCTTTTGTCTAGGCTACGGTCGTTTCCTGGAGGATGCCCTAGATGACCCCTTCCTGGAAGGCTTCGGATTGGGTGCAAGGTTCAGGAACAGCCAGCCCTGGCGGGGTGGGGGTGGGGGTGGGGGGGCATAAGTCAGAGCTGGTGGCCCCAACAGCAGGAAGAACCACTGTGCACAAAGGTTAGATGGGACTCCAGAAATCTCCCCTATAAGGAAGCAGCAGCCCAGTAATGTGAGGACACTTGGGCATGCTCTCTGGGGTTCCAGGGTCTTCTCTCACCATCCCAGTTAGTGGGGGAATAGTCATTCCTGATCTCAGAAGTTGTGTGTGCAGTAACTAGTAATAAATCATGAATTCCAAGGAGGCTCTCAAATCACCACCTCCCACACCCCAAGTGTCTGTAACTGTAGAGATGGACCCTCTTCTTCCTGCCCCAAGTTTACCCACCACAGGGGAACATCCAGGGTGAGGTCCACCCCTCCCCAACACATAAATACTGACATTAATTATCCATTTAAGACAAATTTCCTCCTGTGACTTGATGTCATTAAGAGGTTTTCCCTTCAAAGTGAGGATTAAGCTGTTCCTGATAACTGGGTGAGTTCAAAGACAAAACAGTGGGACACATCCTGGCAGAAGGTTCTTGCCTGTCCCAGCAGTACACAGGGTGTGGGAGAACTGGGAGGTGGACCAGGCCTGGCAGTACTTTGATGACTTCCTTCTCCTCCTCCCACAGCCAGACTTGGACGGGAGGGCCTCAGGCAGCAGTCCTAGCATCAACTCCGCCTCTGTGCTCCGCCTCCTACCTGCAAGCCCTGTGCTTCTGTCCCTCCACCTAGATCTTCAGCTTGGGACACATGAGGAAGCTGCGAAGGGACACAGCGGTAGGGAAAGCACCTGGCAGGTCTGGAGAATCACAGGGGAATTCCAACCAGTCTTCCGGGTGTCCAGGAGTGCCTACCCTCCCAGTGTGGGCAGGGAGGCATCAGGACCCTCCACCACATCCTGCCAGCTCCAGACGCCCAGGACTGCAACCCAGAGGCTACAGCTATGGCAGGACCTCGGCACCCGGTGTCAGTATGTGCAGCGGCTCTGGTGGAGACCAAGAAGCTCCAGGTACGACCCTACTGGTCCCTGCCAACCTCAAGGAGGAAGGAGGAAGGGAGGGAGGGAGTTCATGGTCTAGCCCTTCCCAGGTGCCCCAGCCTTTCCTCCAATAGACATTTGCCTTCTCTGTGCGCTGGTCGGACGACAGCAACACCTTCATGCGCAGGAGCTGGGATGAGTTCAGGAGGCTCCACGTGAGTGAGGCTGGGGCAACCTGATTTTCCCCCACTGCATGACCCACCAATGACCCCAGCTGGGGTGCCTGCCCTCATGTCCACGCAGGCTTCCAATCCTAGCAAGTGATCCCTGCCCTCCCAAGGGTACCCGGTGGGCTTTCCGACACCAATATGCCGGTTCTCACCCTTAGAAGACCCTCAAGGACACCTTCCCAGTGGAGGCAGGCCTACTGCGGAGATCTGACCGCGTTCTCCCCAAGTTTCCAGGTCAGGCTGGCAGAGATCCCGGGGAGGGGCTGGGGCAGCAGCGGCCTGGTGGGGGGGGGAGCCCCGGGGATGGGGTAGCACAGTGCGTCCCTGTCCTGCCTGCAGACGCATCGCTGTTCATGCACGGGGGGCACACAGGCCGAGGCCTGGTGCGTCTGCGGCTGTTGGAATCCTATTCACGGTCGCTGCTAGCGGCTGAGCGCATGCCCTGTGGCCCGGCTCTTACCAGCTTTTTTTCACCGCAAACCCGGGACCTGGAGCCCATGCTGCCACCTGGCAGGTGACTGACACGCCCCCAACTCCCTACAGGAAGCATTTGGAGGGTGGGGGAGGCATAGTGAAGGGGCCTTGGAGGAGCTAAGGCAAGGTGCCTTAGTGGACTTGTGAAAGTTGTTGGCTGACCAATCCCCACACTTCCCACCCACCTACCTCTTTCCTGTGCTCACCACCCTTTCCAGCCTGGTTATCTTGCCTGTCCCAGAAGAGCCTCTAGCTAGCCCTACGCGCAGGCTTTCCATCTGCAACCTGGAGCCTCTGAATCTGCATTGTCTACAGCCCTTCAGCACCCAGGACACACAGGGCCGACCCTTCCATGTGCAGGCCCAGGAGGCCCTAGACGTGCTGCTGCGACACCCCTCAGGTGGGGTTGGGCAGGAGTCTGGGACTCAACCTTCTGCCCCCAGGATCCCAGTGGATCTGAATCCCTGCCCATCTCTTGCCGCCCACAGGCTGGTGGCTGGTGCAGAACGAAGACCAGCAGACAGCATGGTTTCCTGCTCCCTACCTGGAGGAGGTGGCCCCAGGCCGGGGACAAAAAGGGGGACGGCCCCTAGGGAGTAGTGGTATGAGACTAGCCCTCCTCCCCATGCCCGCAACCCAGACTGCTACCTCTGGGCAGCGTGCAGCCAAGGCTGGGCCACAGCACCTGGCCCAGGGGAGGGAGGCCTGGGAGTGACTTGGTGGTAGCAGCGGCCCCCTCAGCACGTGCTAGGTCCCCATAGTGGGTGGGAGCCCCAATGGGTTCTAGAATAGTCCCTTGGGTCAGCAGGGATCCAAACACAGGGAGCATGCAGGTTGCGATTCAGTGGGAGATAAGGGACTAAGAGGGGGGGGCCTCTGGTGACCCTCAAGCACCCCACTCCAGGGTCCCAGTTCTGTGCTTCCCGTGCCTATGAGGGCAGCCAGGCCGATGAGCTGACAGTGCCTGCTGGAGCGCACGTGCACGTCCTGGAAATGTCAGATCGTGGCTGGTGGCTGTGCAGGTGTGGGGCCTTGCAGGGAGTGGGGGTGGGGGTCTAGCTGGGGGCGGGACCTCATATTAACCACGCCCTGCTCTCCTCTCAGGTTCGGTGGCCGCACAGGTCTTCTCCCCTCTGTGTTGCTGCAGCCAGATGGGCTGGGCATGCTCTTGAGTGGGCCAGGGCGTGGAGAGAACAGGGAAGAGGAAGCCCAAAGCTCCCCTGAGCCCTCCCAGGCCACAACTCTTCCCCCCACTGTGCCTGCCCGCCCCCCGCGGAGTGCCATTCAGAGCCGCTGCTGTACTATCACCCGCAGAGCACTGGGACAGGACCCCAGGGGTCAGGGACCCCCTTGAGGGTGTGTGGAACCACATGGAAAGCTGCACTGTGCACCCCCCCAGCTGGAGCCAGAGGCCCCAGGCCCCAGGCATGACCGAGGGCAGCCACACCACTGCCGGGGCAGAGGGGGGTGTGTTTGAGGGTGGACTCCCTGGCTGGCAGGGCCTCCCATTTCCTCTGAGTAAAAAGCTCTTCTGATTGACCCACACCCAGTGTCTGTGCTGAAGGGGAGGGCCTGTTGGGTCATGGCCAGGCCGGGGCACAGGGATAGGGATTGGCCCAAGTTGTGACCTTGGTGAGACAACATCCAGACAGACACAGGAAGCCGGGGTGGAAGAGTACACCTTCTGCATGTTTCAGAGGGCTGAGGGGGCCGAGGGGAGAGTGGGCAGCTTCATGTTGTGCCACAGGAAGTCCAGGAAGGTGGCTGCCTGCAGTGTCCGGCTGAGCCGCTGAAAGTGCCGCTCTGGGGGATGACAGAGGTTGTCACGAGGTCCACAGAGTCTGGCCGAGCTACTCCCTACCCCCACCTGGGGCTGTGTCCACATACCAGTGTAGGGCAGCAGGGCCTCAAGGGAGGCCCGAACACCCTCGTAGGCCAGCAGCTCTTCAGGGGCTTCATGCCGCAGGAGCACGCCCAGCACAGCCTGAGCTTCATGGCAATGCCGCGAGTTGGTGTTCCATGTGACACAGAAGCGCAGCAAGGCCTCTGTCAGTAACAGGGATGGTCAGACCTGCCTGCTGGCCATGCCACCCATACCAGCCACTGTCCAGCCTCTACCCGCCCACCCCGGACCTTTCTGGTCTTGCCGCAGTAGGAGCACTGTGTCTTCCAGCTTCTCACAGGCCTCAGGGTCCCTACGGATGGCTGTGGGAAGAGGAAAGATAAGCCCCAGGGAGGGGCCATGATGGACCCAAGAGGAGCCCCGCCCACTGCCACCTGTCAGGCCCCTGAGGCAGCACTGACCTTGGATAACAGTCAGCACAGTGTGGGGCCGGTCCAGGGAGATGGCCAGGCCCAGAGCCCGCAGGTACCGCTTCTCCTGAAGCAGGTTGTCCAGTTCTTGCTGCCTGGCGGGTGAAGGGTCAAATGGCTGGGGCTGAAGGCAGAACCATCTGGGCTGGCTCAGGAGTCAGCAGCCTGGGCCTGGGCACCCACTGGTGGGAAGCTGTGGCATTGCTCTGAGCTTGCTTCCCCATGCCATAAAGCAGGGGTAATGCCAATATACCCTACCCGGAGGGGTTGGGGTGACGCTGATGCATTGGATGTGCCAGACATATGGGTGGCACTCCCAGGGAGGCTAGGTGAGGCCCCCCCCAGACTTACTTGACCACCTGTTCCTCTCGCTTGGCCTGCTCCTCTGCCTGCTCCGCCTCGGTTACATCCTGGGGTCAGACTGGCGTCAGACTGGCATCCCCATGCTACTTTGCCCACTCTGTGCCCACCCCACCCAAGCCCACACACCTTCCAGAGGATGACACAGGAGTCACTGGCACCAGTGAGGGCGCGGTCATCCAGGCGGCTGCAGTGTAGCCCCCAGACCTTGTCCTCATGGGCGTCTAGCGTCCTCACACACTCGTTGTTCTTGATGGTCCAGAGCTTCACGAGCCCATCAGAGCCGCTGGGTTTAGGATTGGGAGGGGACTCAGCATCTAGGCCTGTCTCTCAGCTCGCCCCAACCCCTGTCCTGTCCCCAGCCCCCTCACCTGGACAGCAGCTGTGTGCCACGGCTCACGAAGGCCACCTTCAGCACAGAGGCATCGTGTCCTTCGAATGTCTGCACGGTTGGAATGGGAAGGGTGTGAGATGGCATCAGGTGGGGGCCAGGCCTGGGGTGCGGGCAGCTTACCTTGAGGCAGCTGAAGTCCTGTAGTGCCCAAAGCTTGATGGTGCCATCAGATGAGGCAGTGGCCAGCACTTGGTCCATGGGTGAGAACTGGACACACCAGAGGCCACGCCGATGGCCTGAGAAGATGCCCAGCAGTTGGCACTGTGGCAGGGCCCAGAGCTTTGCTGTGCGGTCCTGTGAGCCTGTGGCCAGCAGCTTATCATTGGGGGCAACAGCCACACTGTTGATGTCCTGGTGACAATAGTAGGCAGCAGCTCAGACCCCTATGCCAGCGAGGGCCCTGCCACACACCCAACCCAGTGTGACATGTGTGGTCACCTTGTCATGGCAGCGCTGTGTGGCCTGGGCCTGCAGGAGGGCAGGGCCACTGTCTGGGGCTGTGCTCTTGCATAGCAGGGCTTCGGGGAGGGGCCACAGCTTCACAGTGCAGTCCTGGCTGCCCGTCACCAGGAAGGTCTCCTTCAGCCTGAGGACCCGTTGGGGAGAGGGGGAGACACCTGTTGAGTCCCCGCCAGCCCTGTCTGCCAACACACCACAGCTCTGGACTGCAGGACCATGGTCCAGACCAGAGGGCCCATCCCAGAATACAAATGGCCTGAGTCATCCAAACACATCTCTAGGACCACTTGCCCCCACTTAAGACTGCACTGCCCACCCTTGGTGCTGCCACACAAGGTGACTTTGTCCCAAAAATGGGACTCCCATCCTAAATGCAGGGAGCACCTTCTTCACCTGGACCTTGTTCAGGGTCATTCTCTCTGCCTCAATGCCCAATCCCTTAACCACCCAGCAGCCCCAAGGCCACTTCCAGGAAACACCCCTAATGGCGCCTGGGGTACCTCTGGCCCCTGTTCTTTGTTCTGCATCCCTGGGCTGGCACTTCAGAGAGCAAGGTCAAAGCCACCTCCTCTTCTTCCCCATCTCCCTGAGCTGGAACTCCATCAGCAGGGCCTGTGCCTCCGCCTCCGTGAGTGACACCCCTGGACCCCAGTACCTAGAGCAGCAGATGGTGCCCACGCTGTGTGTGTGTCCAGAGCCCTGAGCCACACAGGTCACCTTGCCAGCCTTGTTCATCCTCCAGATGCGGATACTCTGGTCCTGGGGATGGGAGGGGTGAGGACAGAGGCTGGGCATTCCCACCTGGGACCCATTCCTCCCCACCTCTTGGGGTACCTCACCTTGGCGCAGCTGGCAAAGAGCCATCCCTTTCGGAACACATCAAGAGCCAAGACAATGTCTGGGAGGAAGTGGAGAGAGAATGGTCGGAGATCAGCTAAGGGAAGGGGGGTAATCCAGTCCAGGAGCGGGTCCACAGGAGGCCTCAACCCGGCACACTCACCTGTGTGGCCGTGGAGAATCTGACAGGCTGATGTCTGTAGCTCAAATACTTTCAGGCAGGGGCTATTGGAGGCTACAACGATGTGGGAGTCCTCAGGCCCGAGGAACCGGACGTCCAATACCTCCTCGCTGTAGCCAGCGAACTGTGGGGCAGAGGGAAATAAGCCAGGACATGTGTGAATGGAGGGCTGGTGTCCCCAGGCCACAGGCTGAGCAGGGACAGCGCTTACCTGTTTCTGCAGCTGCAGGGAATGTGCCTCATAGAGTAGCAGGTTGTGGTCAGCAGTGACACTGAGGAGCAGGCCAGCGGCTCGGACCAGCGTGCAGTGGGTCAGCTCCCGCCCAGGGCCTGACAGCTGCTGTTGTGTGTAGACACACTGCCCAGAGGCTGCCTCCCACACACGCAACGTGCCTGTGTAGGGACAGGGGCTGCTGGGACTCACAGGTCCACAGGCTACCTCCAGTCCCTGCTGCCCACCCTGGCCTGGCCCCACACACCTTGGCTGCCAGCGGTCAGAAAGTGCAGGCCTGAGGACTTCACACCCAGCTTGGGTGCTGGCTCTTCTGGCAACAGGACTGCAGCTTCCACACTCTGGGGAGGAGCACGTTAGATGGAGCACCCCACCCCTAGCCCCGCCTCAGTCACTAGCCCTGACCCTCTGGTGTCCCCACCTCAAACACTGGTATGGTCCTCAGGGCCTGGTGGCTCCGTAGGTCCCAGACAATGCAGATCTTGTCCCGGCCTGAGCTGGAGGAAACAGTTACCTCAGTTCCCGACTCTCAGCCTTGGCGCCCCCTTCCTGCTAAGGCCTAGGTGGCCTGTCACTGACCTGAGCATGGTGTGGCCGTCAGCACTAAAGGTCAGTGAAGTGACAGCACTGTAGTGGGCAGTCAGTACGGCCAGGCACGACCGGTCCTGTAGCGACCACATGCGGATGGTGGCATCTATGGCTGAGGAGAAGAGCAGCAGGCGTGCAGGGTCCGGGTGGAAGGCCACCAAACTGCAGGTGGGTGGGCAGGGTAGGTGAGCTGTGCCACCCCAGCATGATGCCCCATCCACCCAGCCTCTGCTCCTCCTACTCACTGCACGACACCTGGCGAGCCCCGAAAGTGGTGTGTCCCGTAGTGCCGCACGATGTCCCAGACGCGCACAGCCCCGTCACAGCCGCCTATGGGAATGTGTTTGAGGTGAGGGGACAAAGCCCTCTGCCTATGTGCTCTCCAGCTGGCCCACCCACTCAGTGGGGGTCCTACCTGTGGCTAGCAGCGTGGAGGTGGGGTCGAAAGCCATGGTGGCCACAGGGGCTGTGTGTATAGCTTTCCACAGGCGGGTGACGCTACCCTCTCGCCAGGCCCACTGAGCCAGCAGCAGTGCCCGGCTGGCTGTCACCAGCACCTGAGGGAGGATGTAGTTCAGCTGGAGGGTAGAGGCATGGCCACCAATCCTGATAGATTCAAAGGTTGGTTGGGAGGTACTGGAGCCCATCTCCTGTCCCTGCCCCATTATACCTCATCATCGGGGCTGAGGTCAAAGGCAGTAATGTCCTCCTGGTCCTCCTAGGGGGCAAGAGTGGGCACACAGAGCACCATGAGAATAGGCTGCCCTTCTGTACTAGCCCCTCACCCTGGCTCTCCCCACCCTCACCTGCTCCAGGCTGCGCAGCACAGTCCCTGAGGCCACATCTAGGATGTTGACTCTGGTACCACAGACGCAGAAGAGGTGCTGCCCGGTCTGGTCCAGCTGGTGACAGAGGGGTCTCAGCCAAAGTAACATTCTGCAGCCCCTGCCTGCCCCACCACTCTGCCCCTCCCTGGGCTGGTACCTGCACCTTCCCGCCCTTGTAGAAAGGCTCAATCTTGTGTTCGACAGCATAGCTGGAAGACAGAGGGAGACAGTGAATTACCCACCCCTTGATCCCCAGTGCCAAGCCCCATGCTGGGTGCTCTCCCAGGGATCAACCCAATAGGCCCCTGTAATCCCTGAGTTCTTCTCACTATTATCTTCTTTAACCCCTCGGCAGATCTGTGAAGTGGGTGTTGGTATCCCCATATTACAGCAGAGTCGAGGCCCAGAGCTGGTTGGTGATCCACACAGGGTCTCATGACAGATAGCACTGCCAGTCCAACAGCCCAGTCTTCCCAGATTCCCCAGTGCCCAGCAGGCAGGCCTTGGGGACCCCCTGCTGGCCATAGGAAGCCAGGAGTGGATACCAGCTTACAGCAACATGCTTGTCAACATCTTCATTCCGGAGGTCCAGCCTGCCCTTTCCCCAACCCTGCCTCCTGCCTCCATCTCCAGCCTCTCCTGCATCCCGGGCCCCAAGCAGCCCTCTTGCCTCCTCAGCTGCTTCCATGCTGGTCCAGGCCACTGCACTCCCCCCTTTGGACAGTTGCTCTGGCCTCTTCCCACCAGGTCCCTACCCACTGTCTCAAACCCTGAAGCCAGAAAGGCCTTTTGGAACATAACTCAGTTTACATCACGACCCTGCCTTAAAACCCTCACCTCCCTTACATGTTTTCAAGATCCTGCCCGAAGGGGCCACTGCTGACCTTTCCTGTTTGACACAGGCTGTTCCCTGTATGCAGCCTGGACCCCTCTTCCCAGATTTCAATGGCACCTGGCTAACGCCATTGGAGGAAGCCTTACTGCCAAGATGAAACAAAGTACCCCAAGCCCCTAACCTCGGTCAACCATCCAACAGAGGTGCTCTTAGTACCAGAGCTTCCCTTAGCTAGTACCTATCACAGCCGCTGATGGAAAGGACTTGCTTCATATGTTTACCCCATCAGAATTCGCTCCACACGGCGGGGCTGAGTCTGTCCTATCCTGAACGTTAACCACTTAGATGTTTATCAGAGGCTTGGGGTTTGAATAAGCACAGGATTCCTGCCTTTCTGGGCCACTGCTGACCCGTCCATCTCCTGACCTCTCTTCCTGCTTCCCTGGAGAAGAGGGACAGCAGGTGAAAGCTCCCAGGCCGCCTGCCCCAAAGATGTTCTTCTCCCGCTACCTAAGGGATGAAGGGTCGCGCTTCCATCCAGGACCAGCCTCCACTTGTGCTCAGTCCGCCCCTTCCTTCTTTGGGATTTCTCGTCCCCAACCCCTAAACCGGCTCCTAGTTTAAGCAACGCACGGGGGCTGCGCCCGGCCGGCCTCCAATGTCCGCCCTACCCGAGAGCAGTCGGTGCCGGCTCCCTCATCTTGTAATACCGCAGCTGCCACGCCACGACCCCGGGCCAGTCAGTACACAGGCCTCCCCGCCTCCCCAGAACCGAATGGGCACCCGGTCTATGGGGTACGCCTTCGCTACTCCGTTGCGAATCCGGTTCCCTCCCTCGGCGAGGCCAGCAGCCCCAGCGCCCCGGCTCACTTAGCCTTGAAGCGGCCGACTTCGGCCGCGGCTTCCTCCATGTCTCCGCCGCCGCCGCCGCCGCCGCCGCCGCGTGAGGGAGACAGGCACGCCACCCGGCACTGCCGGCGCACTTGGGTTGAGTCACAGCCCGCTATTGCTGTACGTCATTAACAGCGCGCGCTCGGCGCCATCTTTGCTGTGGGCAGTGGCTGCTGCGTCAGGAAGCGAAATCTCGAAGAGGCATTTCCGGTCTGGAGGTTGGGGTTTAGAACAGCTCGGGCAGGTGGAGTAAGTAGACTGAGGGAATGGGTTGCTAACTATCCGGCCTTTTAATGGAAATTTTAAAAGGCATTCGTAAGAAATGTTTCGGGTCGTGTCCCCTCGGCATTCTGGGGTTTGGGGGCGAGTGTGGTTGGGTGAGGTCTGTGAGTAGACAGAGCCTTGTATCAAGCCCTGCATCGGGGCTCAGTGTCTGGTATGAGAAATAACGCAGGTAAATGAATAAATCGGGTAACTCAGAGTCATTTAAATATTTGAGCACATTCTATGTGCAAAGCGCTGTTCAATGCACTTGGGAGACACGGGGGTGGGGATGGGGGGAACCTCTGCTTTTGAGTAGGTCACGTGTTAGGGGGGTGAGGGCCGGGCAGAAGGGCAATGAATAATGATAAGTGCTGTAGAAAGAATCAGGGAGGAATGGAGCAGAGTTCAGGGGGTGCAATTTTAAATGTGTGGCTTCATGCAGAAGGTGACACCTGTGCAAAACCCTGAAGTAGGTGAAGTAGGGAGCCATGTGGTTATCTAGGGGAACAGTGCTTCATGATAAGGAACAGCTAGTGCACAGGTGTGGCGTTAGGAGGAGCAACAGAACCCCGTGTGGCTGCAGGGAATTAGTAGGGAGAAGAATATAAGGGTAGGAGATCAGAGATAATGGGGGTTCCTCGTTTGTCTTTGTAAGGAGTTGGCTTTTATTTTACTCTGAACTCAGGGTTTTGAGCCGTTTGTGCTACTGGCTATGAAGCTGGGAAGCATATTGGTAAAAAGTAACTGGGAAGGAGACTGGAGAAACCTCTGGGAGGAGACGTTCCATTTGAGTGGAAAGAAGCCAGGCGAGCAAGAATGAGGGGAAGAGCCTTTGGGCAGCGGGGAAAGCCAGTGAGAAGGCCAGTGATGGGAAAGAACTTGGAAAGGTACAGGGAGAACTGCCAAAGTGTCCCTGGGGGGTGAAGGTAGTAGTGCCTGGAGAGACCGGGGGTGGGGGCAGCAAATGTGATATGAGTGATGCCAACAAACACAGAGACGGTGGGGCGGGCCAGGCCAGGGCTCGCATTTATTTACCCCTGTATTTACAAGATACTTTGGCCCTGGACCCCCCACACTTCAGCCCAGATGCTGCCTCCTGGGGTGTCGTCAATCTCCTCTTGCTCAGCACCCAGAAACAGGGCGTCGTCCTCCAGGAAGTCTTCTAGCTGGGCCAACTGCTGGCGGATGAGGTTGGTCATGCGATGTACCTTGCGCATACGCCGTAGCAGGCACAGCACCAGCGACTGGCTGCGCTTTTGGCGCTGGCTCCAGGCCTTGCGCAGCTGGCGGTAGCAGTTGTGGTGTACACGCTCTGCTGGGCCCAGGGTGGCCCCGCAGCCCAGGGGACAGTGCTCCTGGGTACCATGCTGGCAGTGCTGCCGGTGCTCGGCCAGGGCCCCACGCAGCACCTGCACTGTGCAGCCATTGTTGGGGCAGGCCATCAGCTCGAAAGGGCATGAGTCCTGGTGTCCCTTGCGATGGGCCAGGGGGCACATCACCAAACAGCCAGCTTCAGCGTTCTTGCACTGGAGGTAGCGGAGAGGACTGTGTGAGCCAAACCAGGTCGGGCATTGCCAGTCCATGAACTGCCCGTACCCCAGAGAATCCCCTATCCCACTGACCAGGAACCAGTGAACTAACTGGGAGCCTCCCAAGCTCTTATGGCACCTATGACTAGTGGAGAGAGGCCAACAGTTGGACAAATGCTTCGAAGTGGAAAGACTCTAATCTCTGAGAGGAGGGGATCAGGGACTGAGGTTTAGAAAAAGGGAGGTACATGGCTGGGCTGGTGTAGCCAGTTGTATGTATGCCAGATTTTTTTTATTTTGGACCTCAGTTTTCCCATCTATAAAATTAGGGGGCTGGAGAGTAATAGCCGGCACAGCAGACACTTCATCCTCTAAAAATTTTCTATAATCCCCATTTTGCATTTGAGGCCCCAGAGACTCAGAGAGGCTAGGTAACTTGCCCAGTCACACAGCAAGTAGCAGAGATGAGAGACATCTCAGCCAGGTCTAATGACCCTAAGGCTACATACTGTCTGTGCTGCTGAAGCAGAAACACTCAGTTCTGAGGATGGGATTCTCCTTGCTCCCTCTCCTGGCTCTGCCCCACCCCCCAAAGGGGCAAGGAGGGTGGTGGCAGTGGATGCTTTGAGCTACCTTGACTTCCAGGCGGCCAATGGTCTTCCGGAGTTTATTCACATGGACCATCTTTTTCTGTTTCACCTCTTTCCTGCAGCATGGACAGGTCATTTGTCTAGAAGGAGGCACAAGTGGGAGAGTGTTGGGATTGGGAAGGGAACAAGTGGCAGTAACATGCCTCTCTGGTAGTCCTTTTTAAGTGTTAGAGGCATGAGAGATCTTTATAGGGAGCGCTCAGCTCTGAGGCTGGGGTCAGGGGCTGAAGATACCAGAGTGATACCCCATATTTCAGTGTCCCAGGAGACTTGGCAACTGAATCTCCTAAAGGTGCTTTGCAGACCTTCCTCTCAGTTCTGGGCTACAGGAATAGCCCTCATCCCCGCCGCTGCCCTCCCAGCCTCTTGGGTACCCAGTAGCACCTGGCTAGCCACTGGAGAATGCACTTCTTGCAGAATATGTGGCTGCATGGCAACCTCACTGGCCTCTTGAGAACCCCATGGCAGACAGAGCACAGGAAGTTGCTGTCCGGAGGGCTGGCGAAGAGGTTGAGATCATACCCGCCACTCTGCAAAGGCCAGGCCAACATCAGGGCCTGGCTGGGAACGGATCTGGTCCCCCATTCCACATGCTGAGACCCCAGGAATCTTTGGGTGGTGAGGTGGGCCACAACCCCCAAGTGGAGGGTTGGGTCAGCACCCATTTCAAGGGGGCAGCTGTGAGGGTCAAGACCCCCAACTACTAACCCCCAGCTGGAGAAGCAGGCCTTGGCCTATAGTTACACTGAAAGGTTTCCTTGTCCCATTTGCAAGCTTGTAACCCACTATCTGCCCTTTCTCAGCGTGAGAATCGGGGTCTAGCTCTGAGCAGGTCTTTGGAGTTAGGCACAAATCTAAGGGTCAGAGTCTTAGACTCACCATGATCTGTGTCTGGGCAGCAGCTCCACTGACA